CTTTTCTTACCAGGCTGTCTGGTCACACACTGGGCACTTGTCAACCATTGCCAAGTGGCCAGTCTGTCTGATAATTTAACTGCTGGCTGCAGTGCCAATAATTAATTTAGTGTGGTCGAGAGGCGTCCTGAGAGTGAGAGCTCTTTCTCCTGCCAGGACTCCGAAGACCCAGTGCACAGCTACCGCGCAGTGTGTGTGAAGGTGACGGGAACAAAAAGTCACATCTCTATTCTAACATATGTATCTGTGTGTCTGGGAGTATAGATCTTTCCGTGATGGCATTGGGGAGTAGGGTTTAGCAACCCCCATAAGAGTAGACATTGTGGTTAAGGGCCTTCCGGTAAATTGGGTTACAGGCGTTCAAAGCAAATCTGGAGCAAGGTGCTTAATGTGGATCAGTCACCATGGAAAACAATTGAATGTTTTTACAGATTACATCATAGTCAGCAGGTCAGTAAACTGGCTGCTGAATCTGCCCACGTCAGTGTGACTCAACATGTTATCCTTCCAACAGCAATAAAATGAGCATTGTCGAATTGACTAATAGGAACATATTATAACTCACAGAAAATACAAAGTGTCCCTTTTTAAGAGGCCCTCTTTTTCTAGGAGTTCAGAACATGCGATTAACATGCAGCAATATACAGTTGTAATAAATGTATTGGTCATTGGTTTATGTAAGTAAATTACACCAGACCATTAAGTGACCCAATGATCTAATAGTTGGTGAGCTTTACCAAACCCAACACTCAATCATCCAGTATGGCTGTTATATCTTACTTCAGAGGCTGGTCCTATACAACAGTCGCTTGACACCATGGCCAGTCCTATGTTCCACAGCAAGATCACAACCCGAAATGTACCTGTGCTGCTAGAACCTTGAATATGGTCTCAAAATCTCCCAGGAGGGATATGATAGAAATATTTAAATACATAAAAGGAATCAACACAGTAGAGGAGGAGACTATATTTAAAAGAAGAAAAACTACCACAACAAGAGGACATAGTCTTAAATTAGAGGGGCAAATGTTTAAAAATATCAGGAAGTATTACTTTACTGAGAGGGTAATGGATGCATGGCATTGCCTTCCAGCTGAAGTGGTAGAGGTGAAGAAGTTTAAGCATGCGTGGGATAGGCATAAGGCTATCCTAGCTATAAGATAAGGCCAGGGACTAATGAAAGTATTTAGAAAATTGGGCAGACTAGATGGGCCGAATGGTTCTCATCTGCCGTCACATTCTATGTTTCCCATAGAGATCCTACGTACTTTTACTTTGGGCAGGCAAGGTCATTGGACTGTGTTGTCCTACGCATTCCTCATTTTAATGAGACAGCTCTCCAATATTCCTGCTTTGTTTTTAATGAATTTCAAGAAGTTTTTATGATGGAAAACATTTTCAGTTAAAAATAGGTTATCCATTAAACAGCAAATTGAAAGGAATTGAAAACCGCATTGTAAAATCTAGGCCAAATTAACAGACTTCCAAGAAAAATATCTCCAATTCCATTGCAGTTAAAGACTGATGATTTCTGAGACTTTTGCAATTCAGTTTACAATTAACTACTATTCACAGTTTAGTAAATAAACCCCACAATTGCTACAACTATAACATTTCAAAGGACCAAATAGGGGCATACTTGCTTTGGGTATGAGGCTGGAGGTGTTGCTAAGAGGTAATTCTAGAACCTAATGAGAACGGACTGGAAAAGACAAGTTACCTTGAAGTTCTGTTGTACAAACATTTCTGAGCTCCTAGAAAAGGGGGGCAAATGGTGGTCCTAAAGATTAACTTCCAGCTCTTAAAAGGGACACTTAGAACAGCAGTAAATAGTAACTGTACGCAAATTTTTTATTGGCACCATGGATGTCTATAAAGTTGCACCTCAAAATATCATATTGTGTACCTCATTTCCATGGATATTTGCAATGTACTTGACTTCTGGGATCCCCATTCGATGGACATCTGGGAAGCGGCCAACACATAGTACCCATAGAGGTACGCCTGCAATTAAAGAGCAAGCTATAATGTCTCTTAAACAGAGATCATGGGCCACAGCACCTAACCTGGAATCTTTATTTGAATGCTACCATTGACAAATATAGAAAAATAAAATGTTGCTATACATTTAGGAGTCTATCTGCAACTCATTGACTAAACAGAAAATTACGATAAATAGAAAACTGAATTGCGAAATTCTGCCTAAATTAACCAAGCTGTGACTAGCAAAGTTGGAAATGTTTGCTTACAAAGCAGATGTTTTGATCTAAATTTGAAAGGTTCAGTAAACATCAAATTGTAGGTTGCCAGGTCTGGGTTAACCCTCTCCCAAAGCTTGCAGCCCACTGCGTTCATCCTAGGTTGCCAAAGACTTCTTGCATCATAACCAAATCAGTATGCTGCAAGGACAGAGTAACAGAACTTTGGGGCTTAGGGTCAAAATTAGGTCCTGGACACCCAGTCTAATGCACCCATTCCTCCATTATTTATCTTTCCTTAAAACCCCTTGCTCGCCCCTTTTTAGTGTCTTTCCTAAATACATCTTTCACATCTCAATACACCTTTTAGTTTTAACCTATGCCCATTCTTCAGTGCTTTCACCAAGGTATTTAGGAAGTTCTCTGAACTCAGCCAATTTAGGATTGACCAATCGAAGAAAGACAAGCTCCCAGGACCGATTTTCTCAAGTGTTTAGTCTGCTCCTGATAGGCTGTATGTATGGTATGGTTTATAGTAGCCCTTTAAGGGAGGTTGAGTTTCAAACAATATGCATCAAATCACAATGCAAATATGTGGACAACAACTAAATGATATGTTAAACAGTGGTTTAACATATCACAAACTGGATTATTCACTACACTTTGGGCCTTAAAAGGGACACAGAGGCACCCAGACCACTTCATCTCATTGAAGTGGTCTGGGCGCAGTGTACCTTTCCCCTTAACCCTGCAATGTAAAACACTGCCGTTTTAGAGAAATCGCAATGTTTACAATAGCGTTAAGACTGCCTTAGGTTTAGGTTTGACTTTATGTGTGAAGAGTGTGTTCTGTTTTTTTAATTTTATAAAAGTGCCAGTTTTAACAGATAATTGATACGCCACCTGGCTGCCAATAAATTTCTAGTAGTTCAGCACCACAGGTCTAAACTTAAGAGGCAGGCAATGGCCTAGAGCACCTGCCTGGAAAGACTAATATGCACAAGAAGTCTGTACTGGGGGGTTGGTCCTGGACCACCATGCTGAATGGTCGCATGAAAGATCAGCTCCTGCTGATTCAGATTCCTGACTACTGGGTTCAAGAGCCGAAGCCAGGCTTTCAATGAGGAGGGCGATTTGTCGACTTCATGGGTGAGGCCTACCCAAGCTGTGAGTGGGGTGGAACGGCTACTATCCTGCTATCCAGCTCAACAGTGTGTAGCCGATCCTTTGGCACTGCGTCGTGTTGGCCTCATTCCCTCCCCCTCCCTTTGGACCGGTGGGGGTGATCTCGGCCCTCGGCCTGGAGACCCTACTGCAACTCAGAGTCTCTGCTGTACTACCGCACAGAAGGGTAGACTTATCAAAAATGGCGGATGCCCCGTGTTGAGCTGACAAGGACATGACACAATCTAACCTCACTTGCACACTCAACAAAATCCTTGCTGACTTCAGGGGCAAGCTGAACCGCCGACTGCAACAGCCTGTGCAGCGGGAAAGGAGTGGTCATCCACCCCGAAGCTTACCACCCGGGATCAAGTGGAAGACACCAACTCCAGCTCTGTGGAGGGCGTTCCAGGCGGAAGCAATCTGTCTTGGTGGCAGCAGCACGTGGCCCACTATAAGGGCCGAGAGCCTCGCAGGTCTGATCCTACCTTAGCCTGGAGGGACGGAACACAATGTTAATAGGTTTACCTTGCTGTAACAACTGGATTTTGCACCTGCCAATACAGGGGTTGTGGGGCATGCAGGATGCCAGACCTGATCGGGACTGCGCTATACCGCAGGAGGGTGTTGGCTGAACTGTGTATCTTGCGGCTATTGTGCCACTGTGCCTATCCTCCACATGCTTACACCATGCACCTACTTATCGCTACCAGTAACATTCATTTTGTTATTTATTTATGGTTTACCTTTT